TTGTGAAAGTGAACCTTTTAAAAATAACATTCCTTTACATCTATCAAATGATAAACTGAATCTCATTTTCTTGTGTGACAACTGGATTGCAACTTGCAGGGGCAAGCTCGTGGAAAGAAACAGGAAAAGAATCATCATTTCCTTCAATAAAAGAATTTCAACAAGAACACAGGGTTATGAGAGTTGAACTGTAATAAAGCCACATCACTATCATTGTTTTAAAAACCGAACCAGAAGGCAACCCGCTCTGATGGCCCGGTCATGGTTCAACCGGTCCAACCGGTTAGACCGTCGGGTGAACCGATGGTTTGACAGGTTTAAAATCTAACAAAAACATCCCTGATAAATATCATCAAACCCTATAAATTTGAAATCTAGCAAACACAACCTTGGCCAAATGCAAATCGGAGATCGATTGGGAGAGCAGCGATGACACACCAGGAAGGGTAGATCGGATGATGGGGAGGGCAAATCGGCAGCTAGTAAGTAGGCATCGCAGGAAAATGGCAGATCGGTGGTGGCTTTTTTTGGTGAGATGACTGGATCTTCGTGAACGACGACAAGGGAGCTTGGGAGAAGGTAGATCGGTGGCTGAGGAAACCTGTCAATACCGGAGAAGGCCGATCGACGCCGAGAAATGGAAGAAAAATCACGCAGCAAAGATGGACGACGAAACATCATGAGGCGGCTGGAGATGAAGCGTGACAGCACCGAAGAAAGTCAGAACTCAGAGGGTGGTTTCCGATAGTAAGGGAAGGTGGAAGGTTGCCGAAAAAGGGGAGGTCATTGCCGATTTGCATTTGGCCAAAGGGTGTGTTTGCTAGATTTGAAACCTTCAGGGACTGATTCGTATAAATCAAAAGTGTGTTTATTATATTTTAAACTTGAAACAGTTAAAAAGAGTGACCCGACCCGCTGAAGGCCCCAGGTCCCGGTCTGGTCCGGTTTTTAAAACAGTGATCACTACATCATGTAAAGAAAATCCACCAAAGTTCCAAAATGCAAATGGTTCCTTGAGCGATTGAATCGTACTGTCCCTGCAAATTCATTCTCAAATTTCCTGCCTTTTTCAGTTAAATGGGCATGCTCATCGAAACAAATATAGAAGGCATAATTTTCAAAATTTGCTGGATAAATGGATAATATGTGGTACTTGTTTTACAGAGAATTATTTCAGGAAAATGCATTCATCCTTGCCTCCCTTGGGCTTTGAATAAACAGGTCCAAACAATAGAGCATTGGCTACAACTGAGGAAATGCAGTCTATATCATTCTTTATGACAATTGACAACCAGGAGAATTCTAAAAAGAAAAAAAAATGTCAAACTGTGAAGAGGCCTGCACTGCCAATGCAGAGATTTTTCAGCAACAATCCACAGAGCATATGCAAATTCACCTGTACAAACATTGAAATATTAATAAAATGTTGCAACAAGAAACAATGACCGGGTTAGGCATCACATGCAGATGATAGTGAAACAATGCTATGTTGTTCAATCCCTAAATGATTCCCTAGCTCGCCAAGTTACCATATATAATTTTATTCACCACTTGCAGACACCCTCAATGGCTCAATTTGCATTTCTCGAAAGGCACTACAATCACAACTAACACTTTGAAGCAACAAAATTTGGAAAAGGACTCCATAACCAGAATACTTTGCAAGAGAATATAATTAATTTGGTGATGATAACCAGGCACCCTAAGATCTAAAAAACACCTAATATTAAGTTATACGTCACTATTAGTCTTGTAAATATTCAACGTATCCAAGCCCTCAACAACTTGCTTTACTGCTGCTTGCTTATAAGCAAACAGTGTTTTCAACAACTATCATATGTCTTCTTCAAGGTCTCCAATTATGTAAATTTTTTGTCCCTAACCTTGTATTTTTAGCCATTCAGTGAGACTATCCTACAAAATTTGACCCCAGCAATGCAATGCCCTCAATACTGTTCACCAAAAATAAGCTCTCAAAAGAGCTATACTTATTTGGTAACACAAAATTAGAGCTTTCATATCCAAATTGAGTAAAACTAGAACAAACACTATGTCCCATCCAACCAATTCCGATCTTATTCAAATTTATTTCACATCAAATACCCAAATGACATTTATCCACTTAGAGCAAATGAGCCTCAAAACTTTTCAACTAAATTATCATAATCAGCTAAACCAAAACAACCGCTAAGCAAAAATTTTGAAATATTTTTTTATTAACACCTGAATTTATCCACAAATAATGGCGTAAATTCAATTATGAATCCATTAAAATTAAAATCTACAGCTAAGGAAACAGATAAACTCAAAAAAATAACAATTAAACAAAAAGAATCTAGGGTTTTGATGCGTACTTCCTGTGCCTCTGCACGAACGGAGAATTCTTAGCGTCCTCCTCTGCGCGTGATTTCAACAAGAAAACAGTAAATCAAATTATATCAAATATAAAAAAAAATCACAGTATCAATATTAATAGATTTCATGAGATTACCTGTTAACCCGAGAGAAAATTTAGTGATAATAGCGCCGGTGATTGCGAAGCCAACCAGAAATGGCCAGTTTCGGTTCCATTCTCTCCTGAAGAAAACGGGCCACGGATCAAATTTTCTCATTTTTTTTTTTTCCTTGTGATCTCGTAAAACACAGGCGTAGTTGTTCGACCGTAAATAATTTGTGAGTAATTGTTGACGATGTTTGTTGAGAGCCCTGTAATAGGTGGTCTAAAACTATCGGGTCGGATCGATCCGGTTTAAACTTTGAATCTGACGGGTTGGGCTAATTTAAGCTGCAGGGCCGGCCCATCTGTGAAGCTATCTAGCCTACCCTATCAACCCCATTACTTAATGAATAAAACTATGTGCGCCAACCATTTTGTATTAATCCAAGTATTAACATTGAAATTTTGAAATTCCTAAAAAAAAATTCAAATTTTCAATGTTAGTACTTTGATTAGTACAAATTAGTTAGTGTACATAGCATTACTCCATACTCTCTCTTTTATTTTCTAAAATATCTTTGTAACTCAATACGTTCCTTTCATTTCCAAATATTATTTCCTACATCATCTAACGCAAATAAGGTCCATCCCATTTGTGATCCAGAAATAATTTTCATAATTAGAATACAATTCAAATTTTTTAGTTGTATCTTAATACTTTTAGTATTTGAAAGTATATTTGATATAATATTTAAAAATCGTTTTCGGATCAAAAACTATAAAATCTTATGAAAATGGCTTTTAATTGTTTTTTAATTTTACATTAGTTTATACAAGAAGTGAAGATTTATGAATATATACACATATATAATAGGGTTTTACACAGAACTAAGATGTATTTTCCTTTATTGTAATTTCATTTAAGGTTAAAATTATAAAAAAAATTGGATGCTAGGAAAACAAAAAGAAAGTGGCGGCTAAATGTCACTTTCACTTATTATTATTTTACTATACATATATTTTTAAACATCCACCTTTCGTTAGCTATAACTAAAAAAAAAAGAATTGGATGTGTTTGGTGATCGGACTATGAATCAACCCCGCCCACGTTTAATACGGAATCCTTGGCTCCGAGTAATGAAACAAGGTGTCGCCTGCTCATTTTGACCTGTGATGCGAGTGAGACACGTTGTCGTTCGCAGCCAAAC